CTGACATGCTTTTCTGTGAAAGGAAATAAAACTGCCAAATCTGTGTCATTACAGTGAGAATTACCTAGTTGGAGAAGTCAAACCTATCACCCCTGTTCCCAGAGGTCAGACCCTGTGATAGGAGACTGGCTCTTGCAGAGAGATGCACATTTTCAGAAGTTCTGAGCATCAACACCAGTTTGGTTAATGAACATTTCCTTCCAGGCTTGCCTCACAAGTACCCCTACTACTCCCCCTCTCTCAAAAGAACATAACAAGGCTGCAGCTTGAAATGAAAGCCAACTACCCTGTGTTCACCGAGGGCTTTAAGTAGAAAGGTAAATCCTCTCTAGCCAGGAGCAACCTGTGATCAGACAGCATCTGTCAGGTCTGGAGGTGCAGCAGGAGGGCTTGGCTATGCCAGGAATGCAAATGCTTATCCCAAGCACCTTTTTTTTTTTTCCTTTTTAAAGCTGCAGTGACTGTGGTTTCATTAGCAGATAATCCTTCTGGGAAAAGGAAACCTTTGCTGAGAGAAAACGTGCTCAACAATGTTCAGATACAGAGTGGTCAGTCCTGAGAGCCTGCAATGCACACACAGAAGGGGCAGAGTGACCCAGATCAGAGATGGAAATGGGAACACAAAGCAGTCTTCCCAGGTCCCAAATTGTGAAAAGCCCCACTGGCACAGTGATCACATCCATCCAGAGATTAAAATTTGCCCCTTTGTTGCTTTTTCTCAGTCGGCTCACTCTGCTGGTGTTACTGGCATTACAGAAAAGCCATTGATATTTTAAGCCTCATATCAATTAGATTTGCTCTAGGCAAGGTTACAGAAGATAAAATACCAATAGATTTTCTCCAACAAAACGACCTCTGTTCTTAACACCAGTGGAGTTCAATTTGTGATATCAATATCAGGAGCATTTGTCAAAATACATCACTCAAACCAAACAGTGTCACATTTTCTGCTATAGAAAGCCCCCAATTAACACATGGCTCAAAACTCTGCAATATCCTTGTTAAAAAGCAAGAAGTTATTTTTATTAAACCAGACAAGACAAACTTCTGAACAATTTAAGCAGATATAAAGTAGTATTAGGCTTATTGCTCTCATTTTATTAGAGTTATTACGAGTAATACATCACTTGCTCAGAAAATTGCTCCTCCACCCCTTCTTCAAAGTAAACTGTGCTTTGTTCAGCTTCCTGGACCCACCCACTCCAAGGCTTCTATCCCTCTTTACCCTCGAATTCTGTTGCTGTGTTGCTTTTAATGAAGGACAGCATCATTGCTTCTCCTGCAAGTCCTCTGCCTTTCAAGAACGTGCTCAGAGGAACACAAGTTACTTTTTACTTGCAGAAAGATCTAGGAGAATTGTAACTCAAAACTCCATTAAATTTAGTATAAATAAGTAAGACTAAATTTTCAAGAGTTATCATTTGTTATTAAGTAGGATTCCTTCTCAAACAGCTGGAAAACTATTCCACTCTGGCAACATTTGCAATTACAGCTTGCCTTTCCCAAGGAAACTTTTACAGTGCTTTAGCAACTGAGATGGATTACAGGAAAATTTACCAGATGACAAAAAGATCTGCAGAATCTTTGGAAGTTCAATTCAAAATATCTTTTTTTGTTATAAAAAACCCAAAGTCCTATTACAAAAATCCTACACAAATCCATTATCCAACTGTAGCCTTTCAGCTTCACTAACTCAAAGTTCAGATTTTAAGGACAACAGGCAAAGGAATGCTGTACCACATAACATGGATGAGCACTCAATGAGCACTCATCATTCAAAATACATTCTACTGATTAGGTTATAAAGATTAAAAGAAAACACATGTCATTATAGGGCAACTGTTAAGCCTGAAAAAAGCTTGGGCAACATTGTAATTGTGGAGAAGCATGAAGGGTTTGAGGCTAATCCCTGCACAGAGAAGAAAGGTATGATTAAAGTTTAGGTAAACCTCAGCTAACATATAACCAAGTCCATTCTTGGCAGCATTGATGCCACCTCCCATTAAAAACAGAAGTACAGAAAATGACAGCCTGCCATCAGCCTGCAGCTGAAGTGCAGTTTTGGGTGCCTTTCCTGTTCATCTCTAATGTGAAAAACTGGAATAGAGTGAGAGAGGAATACTCATGTCAACTACTCATCTTTCACATGACTCTAGCAAGCCACAGCTCTCTGAAAGACATATCTTTGTGATCACATACTCTGAATTTCCATCACACAAGCAGAGTTTTGGCTTTCTCAGGACCCAGTAAAAAGCAAGTTAGCTTTTTTAATGTTTTGTGGTTTTGCTTTTCAAAACAATCCAGTTATTTATGAGGTAGCCTAATTCTAAATCGATGTCAAATTATTTTATTATTCTTCTGAATACTCTTTGCTGGATTCTATTGCACAAGTAGAGCAAACGTGGTAAGTCCAGCAAGAGCTGCCTGTGCCTGGTTTTAATTCTGGTTTTGATGACAACATTGGCACAGTTATTTGGCAGTTTGGAAAGGGTATGGAGTTACACTTTTCAATCGTGACTGAATCCATGTCTGATGTGCAGAATCTGATCCAACTCTTAAGTGGATAAGATTATGTTTTATAGAATGAATATACATGGCATTGGTAAAAATAGGACAGTTCCTAGTACTACATATAAAATATTAAAGGTGTATAGACAGAGTATTCTGAAAAAGTAATGCACTGTAATACAAAACCTCCAGTCTTATGCTACTGCAGGTACCCCAGATGTACAAATAAGTGATCTGTATCACTTTATACTACATACAAATATGTTTTCAAAGTTCTGAAGCATTACATTAAGAAATCTCTATGCAAGGTTTTATCTGTGCAAAACTAGTCCTAACCAAGTGCTGATTAACTTCAAGAAAAGCTTAAGGAACGATTCCTCCCTAAATGTGTAAATTCTGGTATTGGTCTCCGCTTTTCTACATTACTGCAAACTGCTTCAATATCAAAGTTAATTTCCTCTGAGACTTCATCAAGATCCTACCAATGAAACTGCAAGAATTTTCATATTATAATCCAGTAATTGTATTTCTGCATCTAGGGAAAAAAAAGTACTTACTCCTTCTCTGTATTTGTGAGGGGATCTTTACTGGACATCTTCTTAGAAGCACTATTAAAATAAAAGTTCAAAATGGAGAGTTCTGACACACGAAGAACAGGCTCCTACCTAGGATCAAAACTGATAAAAAAAGAGAAACCACTTTCTGAAATTTACATGGCCATGTTTATTTTCAGACATTGGAAACAACCTTATTTATTACTGATTACTTGAAATCAAACTGGAAGAAGACAACCCCCAGGACAAAACTGATACAATTCACTGCTGAAAACAATTAACAGCTTGGACTTTGCAATACCAAAACATTTCACATCCTACTTTTCTCTTAGTTTATAAGGTAGGAATTAGGGTAAACCTGAATTCATTGTGATTTAAATCTTTAAATAAAGAAAAAGCAGATTACAATTCTAGGATGATGTAACGTAACTGCTGAAAGCAAAGACAATCTCTAATTTTTTTTTTCCCATTGAAGGTTACTTGGGAAGGGAATGGTGTTTTGTGTGTCTTTTTTTCTCATGTTTTTCCAACTTACCCTCTGGTATTTAGTGTCCCTGTCATGTGAAGTATGTAGAACAGGACAAAACACACAAAATGGAATTACACACCCTAATGTAGCAAAAACCTCATAAAATTCACATTGTATTTTTATTACGACATATAACAGGTTGACAAGAAATACAACTCTGGATGCACTGAACTACAATAATTTCAAAAACTGCTACAAAAGTATTAATGCAAAAAATACATTTGTATCAGTAGTAGCAAATCTTCCTGACCTTGTGAGGTGCACGGCTGAACCCTCACACGCTACAACCCAGGGCAGGAATTATTTCCAAGACAAGAGGGACAAGGAACTCTCCCAACACACAGGCAAAGAGGGACAGGGGCCTCTGGTACCAGTGTCACACCACAGACCCTGGCCGAGGTACAGCAGAATCCCCAGGTGCAGTGTCAGCCTCCACAAAAACACACCAATTCCTGCATGTCTGTATTTCTTGTGTGAAAAAGATGTTAAATCCACATGTGTTGGAATAACACAAATGCTCCTGCAGTGAACATTTTCAGGTTTTGCTCAGCATCAGTCATCTGAACACAGGGGAAATACCCCAGTACGGCTACACTGAGACTTTACCATTGTCTATTTCATCATGGAAAATCAAGCAGTACCAGGAGCTTCCAGTCCTTGTGTGATTCACCTTACTGGAACCCACCACAGAAGAGAGGTACAGCTCTAAAGCACTAAATTTAAGTACTGCTACAGCAAATTTTATTACAGCGCATGGCACCAGCAGTGTGAAAAACTATTGTTTGTGAACTTGCCAGACTTTGCTGTTTGCTAACAGCGCTCGCTACCTTCGCAGCGTGCAGCTGTGCTTGAACAAAACCAACCCCCTAGAAATGAAAATAACGTGAAGCAAAGCACCATGGGGGGGAAAGGAACGAACAAACAACCGGTGTCAAATGTCCACAACAGAGGAGAAACTGCAGGCCTCGGAAGGACCACCCGGAGCAGCCTGGCACCCAGCGGGATAAGCAGATACCCGCGGGAGCCAGGACATCCCTCGGGCAGCCGGTACCCGGTGCAGTGTGCCGGCGGGACCCGGTGTGCCGGCGGGACCGCCACCCCTCCCGCTGACCCCGCTCCTCTGGGAGCCGCTCCCGCCCAGCACAGCCCGCTCAGAGCGGGGCCGGGGGCTGCTGCAGTTACCTCATACACACCCTGTGCCCGAGCCGTCCCAGCGCCGAGCGACGAGGGGACACCCAGGGCAGGATCCCCGCGCTCACCGCCCGCTCAGGGGGCGCGGCGGGCACGGATGCGATGGCGGCTCGGCCCGCCCCCGTCCAGTTACGGTCCCTCCCTGCTCCCGCCCCGTTCCTGCCCCGTTCCCCGCCCCGTTCCCCGCGGCCTGTCCCGAGAGCCCCCTCGCTGCGGCCATGGCGCTGTGCGGCCGGGGCTGGGCTCGCTGTGCCCGTGGGCTGCGGCTCGGGGCCTTGTCCCGGCCCGGGCTCTGCGGGACCCGCGGCGTGCGGGGCTCCAACCCCTTCACCCGGCAGCAGGAGGAGGAGTGGCGGCGCCGGAACCGCTCGGCCGTGGGCTACATCGCGGCGGCGGCCGTGGGCATGGTGGGACTGTCGTATGCAGCGGTGCCGCTTTACCGCCTCTACTGCCAGGTACGGGGCGCCCGCGGCCGCCGCCGGTTCCGCGGGTGCGGCGCTCTCACTGCCCTTCCCTGGCAGGCCACGGGGCTCGGCGGGCACGGAGCCTCATGCTATTCCTGGCAGGCCACGGGGCTCCGGGCCCTTACTGCTATCCCTGACAAGCCACGGGGGTCGGGGATCTCACTGCTGTTCCCTGGCAGGCCACGGGGCTCGGGGCTCTCATTGCTATCCCTGACAGCCCACGGGGCTCGGGGCCCTCACTGCTATCCCTGGCAGGCCACGGGGCTCGGGGCTCTCATTGCTATCCCTGACAGGCCACGGGGCTCGGGGATCTCACTGCTGTTCCCTCACAGCCCACGGAGCTCGGGGCTCTCATTGCTATCCCTGACAGGCCACGGGGCTCGGCGGCACGACGGGCGCGGGGCGCAGCGCGGAGCGGATCGAGCGCATGGAGCCCGTGCGGGAGCGGCGCATCAGGGTCACGTTCAATGCCGACACACACGCCAGCATCCAGTGGAACTTCAAACCGCAGCAGAGCGAGATCTACGTGAGTCCCCTGTGCCTTCCCCCCGCACAGCCCGGGCACGGCCGGGATCGCCTTTGCCATCACCCAGCCCGAGCGTGCAGCCGCTGAACCACAGCACCCAGCGCCTCCGGAGCAGCTCCGGGCATGGGGACTCCAGCGAAAAGTCAATGATATAACATGTACTTCTAACACTCCACCACCTCCCTGGGCAGCCCTTTCCAACGCCTGACCACACCAACAGTGGCAAACGTTTCTAAAATCTAATGGGGGAATCTCCTGTTTCATCCCAAGGCCATTTCCTCTCAGTGCAGGCACGGCAGAAGGGCCCGGTCCCCACCTCACTGTCAGTAATTCTAGACCGCAGTCAGGTTCCCCTGGAACCTCCTCCTGAGACTAAACAACCCCAGAGATGTTTTCTAGAACTTTCACCAGCTTTGTTGTCTTTCTGCTGGACGTGCTGCAGCATGGCAATGTCCTCCTCGCAGGACATTGTGTGTAGTTGCCCATCTGCCACCCCATTAAGCTATCAAAAGTGATTGAAACTATATTTATGTATAACTTCATGGTATATACACCACATGTACATGGTACATACACCATAAAAGTGTGTATATATGTATATACACACTTAAAAATACATAGTATAGCTATATCTAAACCTTTACTGTTCCTCCTATTGCCCTATCCTTATAAGAACTTTTTTAGTATTTAAAAACTCACAAATTAACTTTTCTGTTTCAAACTAGTTCTCAAAATAAGGAGTCATGCTTCTTAATAGTTTGAGTCTAGTACTGAAAGAATAACCTCAGAAATTAAATGCACATCATATCTAAATCTGCTTATTAAAAAAGCTCTGTGTGCTGTTGAACTGCTGAGGATAATAGAAGACTCAGGCAAATTGGGTAAGATTATAAACACATAGAACAAGAAACACAATAGAACAGTATTGAAGCTTTTAATTTTGAATATGGGTGAATTGCACATAATCAGAGATATTTGTGAAATAACCAATTTGAAACAGCAAAAGAGAAAATTAATTCTAGATAAAACCTAAAGAACTTGGTTTGAGGGGTGGAGGGCTGCAGTGGATTTAAAAAAAAAAGAAAATCACTGTACAATTATGTTACACAGGTGGTACCAGGAGAGACTGCACTGGCATTTTATAAAGCAAAAAATCCTACTGACAAACCAGTAATTGGAATCTCCACCTACAACGTTGTCCCCTTTGAAGCAGGACAGTATTTCAATAAAATACAAGTAAGTGTGAACAAAGCAAAGACTGCACTTTCCTTTACATAAACAAAAACAGTTACCCATAAATTGCATTTTAATCCTGGACACCATTCTCTGTATGCCAACATTTTAAGAAAATACCTTGTTTTTTCTGAAATTGTAAAATACATCATTTCATTCTTAGCCTTGCTGCCCTCACACCAAGCTGCTCATCCCATCAGAGTGGCTCCAAAATCTGTGTTATTTAGTACCACTCTGAGGGCAGGTGGAATAATGTGAGCTGGCCTGGCCCCTTGACACCTTTACACAGTTCATTAAAAGCTAATTTATTTTTTTCCTGTATCACCACAGTAACAGAATTGCTGTCTTGTTGCTCATCTTATTGATCCTTCCCAGGATTTTAGGGGTGTACAGGGAATGAGAGTTTATTTTAAACTATGAAGATTTCTTGGCAGAGATAAAACTTACCACCACTGTTGTTGTCTAATTGTCACTTTTTTTTTCCTCCCACCTGCAGTGTTTTTGTTTTGAAGAACAGAGGCTAAATCCTCAGGAGGAAGTGGACATGCCTGTCTTTTTCTACATTGACCCAGAGTTTGCTGAGGACCCTAAAATGGCTAAAGTTGATTTAATCACCCTCTCTTACACCTTCTTTGAAGCAAAGGAAGGACAGAAGTTGCCACTTCCTGGGTATCAGTAGCAGGCCTTCTCTCCAAAATGTGCCTTCTGCTACATCTGAGGGCCAGTTTTGATGCCATTTTTGCAGAAAAAACTGCAGGACTACTGTGCAGAAATTATATTATTAAACCTCCAATGGCACATGCTGTTATGAAAGTATATATATATTTTTTTTCCTTGGAAACCAACTTAATATATCCCTATTTCTTAGGGGTAGTATTTTTTTCATCAGGCAGTGGAAGGGAACACACTGTTCCTGAAATAGAGAGGGTTTTCTCAGGCTATCTTTTTAAAAGATGTTATCTGAATACCACAAGGCAAATTTTTAAACCAATATGTAAATTAACGTCTTAATTTAAATACAGAGAAAAAAATCAGTTGACTCAGCATCTAAACTTCCATTGCTGGCTCCAGAAAATAACTTGCATGCTAAGTTACTTTAGAAAAAGGTAAACCCAGATAATAAATTAAGGTAATCTCATAAGTAAACAAAGTTAGACTGTTATTTCTGTATAAGCCTTTGTGGCACAGGAGATGATGATTCAGGTGGTGCACCCTCTCATGTTATTACTGAATCAGTAGTTCATTTGGTAAGAGCAGACTGCTCTACAGCTGTAATCATGACAACAGTCACTGAAGTGTGAGCACATCAGATCTGTGGGATGGTTTCCATTTGGGAACACCGTCTCATTTCTGTGTTGTGTCCCCTCGTTTGAAGTGTCTGTGCTGTAATGAGTGCTCTTTGCAGAGGGCTCTGCTCTGGGCACCTCAAGAGACAAGGCTGGCTTGTGTCTGACATGCTTTGAGGGGAGGGCAGTGCATGAACAACTGCTCTGAGCTGCAGCTGGATGAACAGCACAGGTGTCTCCCCAAAAACCAAAATCTGCACATTCAGAGGCTGAGTTGGCCAGAACCTGCCCAGCAGTGCAGCAGCTCCTCAGGGGCACTCTGTTTACCATCAGAACACATCAGCCTGTATTTATGTAACTTTTGGTCATTATCTGTGGGGTAGGTCTAATAACACATTATCACTGCCTTGCAAACCAGGAGTGAGTTGCAGAGCAAGTTCAAGTAACCTGCTCATTTTCAGACAGAAATTACTATCAGCAGTATCTCTTCTGCTGGGCCAGGTCTTTCTACCCCTTCCAGCAGAGAAGATCTAACAAAGTAAGGCTGATGTTGGTTAGCTTGGACTCTGAAAAGCAATGAGTATTTAAGAAATAACTTCCAGTTATTTAAGTCTCAATTTTATTTGCATATAGTAACTCAAAAACTGTTTTGAAAATAAATGGATGCTACCTTTAAAATGCATTATTGTACCAATTACTTGTTTTGGTTAAACATTCTGGATGACATACAGGCCTTCACTGTATATTAAAGATTGAAAATTGTTCATTCTTTCATCTCTAATGCATTATATCCAGCAGAACACGTGGAGCCCACACAAGTGAAATACATCTGTATGAAGATAGCAGCAAGCTTTATAATTCCAGTACACTTCAGGAAAAAAAAGTAACATCAAGACAAATCTTTGAATCCAGGCTAGGGGGAAAAAAACCCAACTTCTTACCTCAGTTGTCTTTAGTCTACTGTCCTTCTGAAAGCTGAACTGATGATGGCAGTTCTCCACCCATTGCTTTATTCTGGCCACATTCTTCAGAAGAAAAGGAATATCCCCCTGGCAAGTGACAATTCCATAAAAACGTGGGGTGTCCGCCTGAGTTTGAAAGCCCAAATTTGCAGAAATGCTGAGCACATTCCCTCTACAACACAGGCTCTAACCTTGGTAATTAAGCATTTCCCTTCCATCTGTGCCCACTGTGCTGCTTTCAACACGGAGAGGGTCAGCATGGGTCAGCAATCACCCATTCTGGATTACACTGCAACAGCCCAGTTCGATTTGTTACCCTTCACTGTGGGGGTTCTGCCAATACAACCCAGCTGTAAGGGAAAAATTAAAAAAATCAATCCACCTCAAATCCTATTTTCAGCTGTTTTCTCAGGCTGCTGTCCAGACCACTGTAAATTTGCAAGAAAAATGAGAGTAAAACAAGTCACCTTTTCACCTCAGCTTACAAAACTCCCAGGCTTCTTCAAGGTTGTGTTTTGGATAGAAGCAAGTTGTTCTAATGGTCCTGCAGCAAACTGAACAGGTTCACACTAAAATACTCCCAATGCTACCTACATTTATGTTTCAGGGAATACACAAATAGAGAAAAACTTGGAAGCAATGAGTGATTACTTCTCAGTAAGCATTTGCTTTTATTTGGAATTTTATGCTACAAAAATTGCAAAAGCAGCAGAGAACTTATCCCTTAAACAGTTAACATAAAGTACGTTTAAAATGCAGTTATTTCACAAAAAATTAGCTTATATGATATGAACATGAACTAAGTTCTCAAATTTTGTATCAGCTATAAATTCAGAGAACTATACCCGTTAAAGTGCAGAGTTTACATTCAGCATTAAAATAGATAAGGCACTTACTAAAAGATAAAACAGTTATTAACAGGATTAAACAACTTAATTATAATAAATGAGTAACTATTGCTCATCTGCATTGTAGATGATTAATTTTTCCTTCACCAGAATAATCTCTACAGGGCAGGAACATTGAAAGAAACAATTGATCCCCCTGCAATATTTACTGAGTAAATAAAAGCAACAACAACAACAACATAGGAACAAGCAGGTTTTTTTCCTGTTCTGTTAATTATGGATGACAGCACTTAGTGTCCCAGCGTAGGTTCTTCCCAAGACAAAAATCCAACTATATTGTGGGTTTTTAGGAAGAAAATAATAAAGGGAAATCTCTATTAAGGATGTAGGAAAGCACCACTGCACGTCTTCAGACATCTATCAAAAGGCCAATTTTAGAAAAAAAAATTTGTATGTCAAAACCCCCTTGAGACTGCAGTGAGGCCAAAAGAGAAACTGGTTTCTACAGTTTCTGTGAAGGTAATGTCTCTTTTGTTTAGTTGTGCCAGATGTCGAGTGTTACTTCATACACAGGTGAATTTAGAAGTCACATTTTACAGGCCCCTAAAATACTTTAAACATGCAAGTGACCTTGAAGAACACAGCTGAACATTTAGGACAAATTGCCAAGGTGTGGAGCCAAGTAACTCCTCAGCTTGCACACAGCTCAGTACTCCAACACTAATTACTGTGTCAAAATGCAAAACCTGTCCTGTTATTCACTTGTAGTTCCAGGAAGCACTGCACAGGAGCAGCACCAGAGAGTGTTCAGGAAAAGATTCCACCACCACCTTCAGTCTGTGCTCTTTTTAACTTCTGTCTTCAGCACAACATCAATTTCTTCATAAATAGCTCTGAAAGAGAAGGAGCAGGGTGACTCCTACACCACACTTCATTTTGACACAAGGGACCAGGGAAATCCTGCCCAAAGTTTGCAGTGTAGCTTCCCTTGCAGGATGGCCAAGTTTCCATGGAAACAAAGAGCCAAGCCTGCTCTGATTGTACATTTAATGAGGAACCTCTGGACACTGTCACTTTTGATCAAACAAGTTTGGGAACAGGACTGCAAAACAAATGGCAAGTGCAACACTATGCAATTACTGCATTAATTAGCAGTGCTGTGAAAAAAAGGAAAAAATAAAAAAAAAAAAAAAAAAGGAAGCTTTGTTGAGATTCCCCTACCTCAAAATACAGTGGCTCCTTGGGCTCCTTAGAAATAAGTTTTGTTTAGGTAGCTCAATTTTTTTTTTTTTGCAATTTACTGTTAGAAATGGGAGTTCTGCCATGTGTTAGGTTTTGTGTTAGTTTGCTGTCTCACTATTTTGGCCTTCTGGAGAGATACAGCATCCATTCCCTTTTGTAGTTTATATTTAAATTAAATTATTTTTCATATGCAGTAGAAAAACATTATTTAAAAAACACAAGTGCTATGAACAGGAATTCCTTTGGTTACCTTGTTCCAGAACTACCTGGGCTGAAGTTCAATCAACTTTTTCCAGCAGGACCCTGACCATATTTCCTTCACCTTTCTGTATCACTGGATAAGATTTTAGTAATTTTGATACAGCATTACTCCTCCATTTTTACAGATGCCAGTTAATGAGCACACTACAGTTAATTCCTTAATTGGTTATGCCAGAAATATTGGAAGAAAACATACAAAATGCAGCCATTGTCATTTACATCAATGATGCAGTTGGTCAGTTAACCCAGCCTAAAGTAGAGTGGTCTGCTTTTTCCTCTCAGAAGAAAAAGCCACTTTGCCTTTGGTACCTCAAAATTTTAAAATTCTGTTTTAGAAGTTACTTACTCAGTGGGAGCCAAGGGATCAAATTCCATTATGTCATAGTAATGAGCTGACTGTGACTTGTTCTTTGACGTAGCTGAAGAATAAAGACAGGCAGACAGATTTAAAACACCCAGATATGAAACAGAATGAAAAACATGATTACTGCATATTTTTTGTGTCTTCCTGAAAGCAGCACATTACCTACTCAGCTGCTTTACATGCTAAAATGGAAAGATCTGTAATAGAATCCATGAGCAATATGACTTTGTCAATGTTTGTTGTTGTTCCTAGTCACTGACAGCCATTATATAAAGGCCTTAAGTTCTAACAAGAAAATGAAAGAGGTGTTTTGCAGTATTTATTACCTGCTGGTGATGGTCCATTTGATGGCACAGTTTGTCCAGCCTGCAGATTTATTGGGTTCAGAGGCACTGGGCTTAAAAGAGTCGTCAACTAAGGACATCAAGCAAAACAATGCATAAACAGATAGTTCTGTGAGAACTGGTTTGACCTAACTTACATAATTGCTGACTTATCTTTAAACTCTCTGACTACTGCAGGTAAAATTCCAAGGCCAACAGTTAGCAACCCAATTAATCTTCATTCTCCACACAACCTTCAAAGCAACATTTAGTGTTCTACAGCACATGTGTATAATTTACCTCTCTGTGACTTGTTCTGCCACACAGATTCAAACATCTGCTTTTATTTGCAGTTTAAAATAAGAACTGTGCATGTTGCTTTGGGAGCTGCTTCTCATCTTTTCTATTTCAGACTGCCTTCATAACATTACCTCAAAGTCCCTTCAGATTCCTTCCATTCCTTCTGTAATGGGTGTTTCTCTGCAGCATGACACTTGTCCTGCACTGTACTTGGGGTTTAAGAGATTTTTTGGTGGGCTGTGTTTCTGTGGGGGCTTTGAGGTTTTAGGGTTTTTTTTGTATGTTTGCTTTCAGTATCTTATCTGAGATAAAAAGTACACCAGAGCAACATCATGGCAACAGGAGGAGATCTCAGCTTGCTTTGCATAGCAACAAATTAAACACAAATAATAGAGCAAATGCTTTCTGCAAATTCTCCTGGGATTGTGCTGGATCCA